CAAATTATATAAACTAATTTCTTTTTTTTTTATAAAAAAAACTAAATTATATAAACTAGTTTACAACTCAAACAGTGTCAGGGCAAAGTGGATAAAATGATTCTCCCAACATGTGGACACGAATTTAATAGGAAATGAAATATAAGAATTAATTGATTTGAAAAGTGTACTTGAGACAAAGAGCAAGAGAGATTGATATTGTTCAAGAGTGGTAACGATCTGATCTGATCTAATTTGAGAAGGAAAAATTAGAGAGTTAATCAGCAGATTTGACAATGAGAAAGTAGAGAAGATGATAGTTCACACTCGAACACCGATTAAGAGAATGAAAAATGTACCTGAGATAAAAGCAAGAGAGATCGATCTTGTTCAAGAATGATATCGATTTTAGATTTGCGATTTGATGAAGAACAAATTGAGTTCGAGTTTGAGTTCGATGAAAAACAGCTAGAGCAAAGCCCTTGAGCGACAGAGATCAATGAAGAACAGCTAGAGAGTTCAATTGCGAGTGACAGAGATCGATGAAGCGCAAACCATGGTGTTTGAGAGTGAGATCTGTGAGAGAGAGTGACAAACATACAATACAAAATCTCCAATCAAGTGAGAGAGAGTGTGTGTGTGAGTTGGTTTGAGAATGAGAGTGAAAGTGAAAGTGACAGTGAGAGCTAGAGCTAGAGCTTCAAATCGAGGGTTTTGGAAGAGAGAGAGACTGAGTTATGGAAGAAACAGAGAAAAAGAGAGACTAAGTTAAAAAAGACGGAGTTTTAGAAGGTCAATAAATTGACCCAATACGATGGCGTTTAACTGAGATCAGAAACAACGTTTTCAAAACATTGTGTTTAATTAATTTATAATGGCATTTTCATAAACGCCATTTAAAAAACGTTGCCATACGCCCTTTTTCCTGTAGTGTCTATGATATAATTTTGAGAGTTTCATAATCATTGTGATATAATGAATTATTTAAATACCCTACATGAATTTTTAGAGAGGTCGAGAGCCTTCGTATAAATTCTACAAGTATGGGGGGTGTCATGCAAAAGTTGGCAATACCTAAACCCAAGCGGGTAGGATATGCCTAAAAATCCGTTGACTTTGTGTTCAACGGTTATGCACAATATAGTAGTGCATATCGGTTTCCTTGTGGATGAATCTGATATTCAGATTTATACAAGAATACCATCATGGAATTGAGGAAACAATTTTTATGAGGAAAAAGATGAGGGTATAAGATGTTAAAATGTTAGGACTTTAAAGTTCTTCTGTCTAATCTTCTTAAACCTATTAGTGGCTAGTGAAGCTAAAAGCTTCTTTGAAGCTGTCATTTCTCTATAAAAAAGTTATTAATTTAACTTTATCTTGCATAGATAGTAAGCCTTTAGATGCAAGTGATTGAAAGCTGATGAGACAAGCATGTTATCAAAGGATATCAGCAAAGAGAATGCTTGGATTACTTTGATACGTTATCACTAGTTATGGTGAATGTGATCGCAATTGTGCGAAGTCTGGTCATTTGTCAAGATGGATGTTTAGATAACTTTCATATATGAAGATTTAGTTGAATAAATCTTTATGGAATAACCCCGAAGGGTTTGTTAATTCCAGGACGATGAAATACTGTAAGCTTGAGAATCATTTTATGATTTGAAATAATCGCCGAACAATGGCATGAGAAAGTTGATTACGCTATGTTGTCAAGTGGGTTTTTATAATCAATGGGTATTGACAAATGTGTTTATGTCAAAGACATTGACAATAGTATATGTCATTTTGTGTCTGTGTGTAGGTGACATGTTCATTGTTGGTAGTTATACTACCAAGTGTATGTTGAACTCTAAGTTTGACAGGGGCCTTGCAGATGTATATATGAGAATTAAGATTTTCTAAACATCTGCTGGTAGTGTACTTTCTCGGTCTCATCATTTTGATAAAAGCCTTGAGAAGTATATGCACAATATAGTAGTGCATATCAGTTTCCTTGTGGACGAATCTGATATTCAGATTTACACAAGAATACCATCATGGAATTGAGGAGCATTTTTTATGAGGAAAAAGATGGGGCTAGAAGGTCAGGACTTTAAAGTTCTTCTGTCTAATATTCTTAAACCTATATGGTGGCTAATGAGGTTAAAAGCTTATTTGAATATGTGATTTCTCTAGAAAGAAATTATTAACTTTTTCTTGCATAAGTAGTAATCCTTGGGATGCAAGTGAATGAAAGCTAATAAGACAAGTTTGTTATCAAAGGATACCGGCAAAGCAAAGGCCTGGATTACTTTGATATGTGATCGCCAGTTATGGTGAGTGTGATCGCAATTGTGCGAAGTTTTGGAGATACATCAAGATGGATGTTCAGATAGCTTTCATGTATGAAGATTTAGTTAAATAAATCTTTATGGAACAACTCGAAGGGTTTGTTGGTTCTAGAATGAGGGAAGTCTTAAGCTTGAAAAATTATTATATGATTTGAAACAAGCACCGTAACACTGAGATATGAAATTTGACAACACAATGTTGTCAAGTGGGTTTTAAATAAATAGGTATTGACAAATGTGTGGATGTTAAAGATACTGACAAATAGATATGCCAGTTTGTGTCTGTATGATTGGTAACTATGAGAAGATGTTCATAATTACCAAGAGGTTGTTAAACTTAAGTTTGGAACGAAGGATGGGCCTTGCAGATGTATATCTGAGAATTAAGATTTCCAAAACATTTGATGGTGTCATACTTTCTCAGTCTTATTATTTTGACAAGAGTTTTGAGTCAGATACAAGTGTGTTAAAAGATTTCGGTAGATTTCAATCTCTGTTTGACGAGGAATAATGGAAAATTCTCGGATTATAGGAATTCTAAGTATCTGATGAGTTGTACAAGGTCAGGTATAACCTACACATTAATAGACTAAGTAGATACACGAGTAATCCCAATGCCTATTTTTACAAGGCGTTTGTGCAGGTACTAAGGTCTTTACGATGAAGCCGGGATTGTGGATTGCATAATACTTGATATCCAATCGTACTAGAAGGGTACAAAGGCGCCTACTCGATATCTGATGTAAAGACTATGAATCCATTAGTGGATATGTTTTCTCTATTGGAGCTACAACCGTGTATCATGAGATTAACGCTGGAATCGAGTTTAGTGCTTAATGTAAAGTTATTGAAGATGGCTTTAGCTTTGCCGTTTTCTTGAGGATATTTCATGTTAATCAAAACTTGTGCTAGCAATTTTGTATAGTTTGCGACAATCAGTCAAGTATTGGTAAGGCACGGAGTAATAAGTATAATGAAAGGTCTAGACATTTTCGTCGAAGACATAATTCTATACGATAGTTACTCTCTATTGGTATTGTCTCTATAGGCTACGTGAAGTCTAAAAATAATATTGCAGATCCGCTAATCAAAGTGTTAAATTGAGAGTTAGTAGAAACGTCGTCAAAATGAATGGAATTAAGGCCTTTAGCGAGTGTTACTGGAATGGAAAAACCAACCTAGTCAACTGGAGATTCCAAGATCCAGGTTCAGAGGGATAACCTAATTGTGCGTAACGAGTGAGTCACTCAAGAGGTAAATCTTCTTACTCATTCCTTTATACAGTGATACCTTGTGGGGTAAATGGTTAAGCTGATGCTTTTAATGACCTGTATGATGTGAATAGTCAACCATGGTATAGCGTGATACCTTATGTAGATCACCAATGTGAGTGCGAAATGTGGCTGATTCTTTAAGAATTGACAATGCTGAATTCTTTAAAAATATCACTGAACCAAGCAAGTGTTCTAGGGCCAAATCGGACACAACAACAAGAACAAAACAATGGTTGGAGTGACTCCTGTGTGAGGTGGGTCTAAGTGGTTTTGTATTCTCTTAAGTGAGAATGTTACAATACAAAAATAATGAGCCGAAACCATTTGGTTGTGAATGCGGATTATCTCATAAAGTGGGCATCGATAAAAGTTGAGCTTAGATTCAGACATAGTATTAGTTTGGACCGGGTCTAGGCATGTGCTTGTGCATGTGTTAGGTTTGGTTTTGGACTTAGACTTGGACTTGGACTTAGACTTAGTCTTAAGCTTGGGTTGGGTTGTGCTGTGCTGGGCTTAGCTTGTATATGTGTTTGATATTGGGCTTAGATCGGGTTGTGACCCAACATCAGTATCCGTTTTGTGACCTATTTGTTTGAATTATTCAAACATCATCATATATATGTTTATTTGTATATATTAAGCACATGGGAATTTCAGGCTTCTGTAACTCTCAGCTTTTGATGATGGAGTTGATGACCATATTAGTAGCTATGAGTTTTTAACCTTTGTAACTCTAGCGCTAATGGCTACAGTTGATGGCCTTGGTTAATGACATTTGATAGCTCTCATGATGATAGCTCTCATGGCTAGGGTTTCTCTTACTTGTATAAATAGAGACATTTTCCCTTTGACTTAGTAGGATGATTTTGAAGAGATTTTTGAGATGGAAAATGAGATGGTGTTTTGAGATAATAAAGTTAGAGATGATTTTTATACATAAGAAAATTTTTCCTATCTTCTTTTTGCTAGCCCCTTCTTTGGTTTTTGTGAGAGAGAGAGTGTGTGTTGCTATTGTCAAGTTCGTCAAAGCTATTCAGAAGATGCTTCTAATCTAGTTGGTTTCGACCGTTATATCTTGGGAGACAGATGCCGGCGTATCTCTAGCACCCATTGGTGAGACGGCGATTTTATTTTAAGAAAACTGTGTGTACCACAGGTTTCGATTTGCACCATTATCTTTTGTTCTTCAAAGTTTTAAATTTAAACTATTTCTTGTATATTATTTTGAATGTCTATGTTAATCCATTTTATAATATGTTCTATGATATAATCTATTTTATTCCTATATTTTTAGTTCTATAGTTTTTTCTGTATTTCATTATTTAATAATATGAGAAATTGTTTGTCATTTCTATTTAATTTAATTTTATATATTTTTCTACTATTGTTATGGAAAAATACAAATACTAAGTTTATATTAGGCCCATTGTTCAGTAGATTTTATTTTTGGAAATCAAGGGTGATCCTTGGTGCTTCCATTTTCAACATCATTTTCATGGAGTGAGCCAGAATTCAACTCATATGGGTGAAGAGAAAATGTTTTCATGATTTTGTTGATGCTGTATTGCCGAGAAACCAATGGCTTCGGGAGGCTCCTTCCTTTGTTGAGGTTTCGATTTGTACTTTTCAGGTCGTCGTGGTCGTCAAGGTCTTGCATTTCAATGGACGTTTTGACAAGGTGGGCTGATCCTTCTTCTTCTTCTTCTTCCATTTCATCTTTTGATTTTGCTGAGGATGATTTGTTCTTGTACACCAAATAGAGGATTAGTTGGGCCGAGCCCAATATAAATCCAATTGCATTTGGTACCTGAAGATTTTCCATCCATTCATAAATATGTCACAGTCATGACAATCACTCCACTTTCTATTTAAAAATATAAATACATAAATAATTGACACACGGACCAAAAAGTACCAAAAATTAAAAATAAAATAAAACTCAGACAATTTGGGAGGGGAAAAAATTAAATCTAAACCTTGAAAATTTACTGTGTTATTTTGTTTTGAAAGCAACTTTCTACCCGATATGTCAAATTTATTATTTTATTTTACAATGGGAAAGTTCTTCGAAATTGACAATATAACACTTTGGTCTTGTTTGGGAAGTTAACTATTTTAGCTGGTTATTTGATTATTTTTTGACTATTTTAGCTTGATTAAAATAGTTATGTTTGGAGCAAATTACAAATACACCTTTTGAGATTTACTTAAAATACGATGGTCCCATGTTGTTTGGAAAATTATAAATATCTCTCTGTCAGAATTTTTTATTTAACAGAATTAATTGAAAAAATGAAATTTTTAACTATTCACATATACGATATTAAATTATCTGAATTATTAATTGAAATAAAAATTTAACATTATTAAATACTATTAATTAACTTGATGATTTATTAATAAAACGATCTATTTTTTATGAAATTAGAAGCCTTAAGGGGCATAATGTAATTTCTAGAATCACAAGGGGTAATTTGTAATTTAAATAAATCTCAGGAGGTGTGTTTGTAATTCACCCTTATGTTTGAGAAGTTGGTTGATTTATTTATTTATATATTTTTTAGTAGATTTAATGGTTGTGAGAGAAAAAGTAAAATAATTATGAATTATATATAATATTTTGTTTTATTAATTATTTTAACTTATTTTATCTTTAAGTGGGCTATTTTAACCCCATCCCCTTCTCAAACCATGATATAGTATATATTACCGTTGGGATTTAAAAAATAAAATAAAATTGGCAACAACTGGAATTTGTCAAATTTGACTTGTTAAGTTTAAGTTAAATGTCAACTCATCATTTGACATATTAGGTGAATTTCGTTTTATATGTCAAAATTAAACTATTATTATGCCACATTTAGCACTTCCGTTAGAGCTGCTCTAAAAATTCTTTTTTGGGTTTTTGTTAGGTTAATTCCCTTTGTAAAGTTTTTAACTCCTATAGTCTTGTTTTTAAATAATTCTTATTTTCTTCAATAAAATAATAATAATAATCACTATGCTTGGTTACCATTTTTCAAAAATACTTTTCAGAAAATTTTATTTTTTTATTTTTCGTATTTTTTTTTGTTTTTACTGAAATTTTTTAATATTTTGAGCAATTTTTTTAATTTTTAGATATACCTAACATAAATATAACTAAAAAGTAAAAAAATTGAAAAAAATCTTTTAAAAATTCACTAAATACCAAAAATATATAAAAAAAACGAGAATTCGGTACATTTTTTTTTATTTTATGTATTTATTAATTTTTAAAAATATTTTTTTAATTTTTTTTACTTTTTAGATACATCTAAGTAAGGTGCATCTAAAAACGTAAAAAAAAATATTTAAAATTTTAAAAATATTCACTAAAAATAAAAAAATACGAAAATCAAAAAACTCAAACCAAACACACCGAATAATGCTTATTTTCACTGCCCTTTTTTGTTCGATTGGCCTTTCTCTCTCCATCATTTAGGCTAATCACACTGACTTGTCTATAATTTTTTATTCATATAACACTCGATCCTTTTTTCCATAAATAATTCATTAGGTCTATGATGAAAAGAACATATTGACATATATTTTACATTAAAATAGGTAGTTTATTTTTGTTTAGCTTTGTGTTTTACACCATGTACTTTAATTATGATCCATTTAATGTTTATCTACTCCCATAAACAATGTTCTTTTCATCATAGACTGAAAAAATGATGCACCAAATAAAATTGTATATAATATTTTTCTTTCTCCAAACCTAAGGGAAAGCCAGTGTAAATTACCCATTCTTTTTTTTTATACTGCATGCTAAATATTAAAGTTGTATTTGAATTATTAATTTATGTAGTGATTTGAAAAGAAAAAAGAAAAATGTGAGGACAATGTGAATAAAATATAAATTATTTTTTTTATTTATTTTTCTTTTCAAATTTATGATTCAATAAGGATCTATAAAAAGGCTTGGAAAGCAAGATGCAAAACTATGAAATGGGTATATGACATTACAGAGTTCAAATGGTCTATAGCATCTTCATATATATATATATATATATTTTAAATGCAAATACTGAAAAGTGATGTTAAAATTTTAAAAGCACATATTTAAAAAATATAAGAAGACTTACTCCGATGAAAATATCCTTGACAAGGAGAGCATAGACCGACCAAACTCCAGCATTGAGGAAGAGGAAAAATGATAGGAAAAAAGGCATGTACTCCACACTCGTTGTATTTATCACTGTTCTCTGTTATTCTCATCCATTAAAAATTGAAACACAAATGAGAACCTATGTCAAAGATTTCAATTAAAAAAATCAAAATGCTACAGAAGTTATGTTTTTCAACTCTTAATTTTTTAGTCCATTTGTAAAACATTAGAAATCCATTTCTCAAGTCGAAGGACTGCAATCGTGGGCCGGTTACATAGCTTGTTCCATAATCAATCCGTTCATATTTTAAATTTATATAAAAACTATTCTTAAAAAAAAAACTTTTTTTTATATTTGTAATTATAATAATATAATTTAAAAATAAATTATAAAATAAATATAATAATGTCATTGAACTTTAATTATTAAACTAATTTAACTCTTTCAGTAAATATGACAGTCCAATCTATTGAGAAGATAAAATAATCGAAAGAGCTAAATTAAACATTTTTGGCCATAAGTGATGACCTTGAGTCACTGCCATAGAATGTCTTCAAAAAATAAAATAAAATATAAATATATTTACTGAGATTTGCTTCAAATACAATTTATCTATGATTTTGAAAATTACATTTTACCATTTGAAGTTTCTAATTTGATAAGAAATGGACCATTCAGTTAATTCTGTTAAATAGTCTTTGGTCGTGTGAAAATATTTTATTGGAGTATGGTTTTTCACTAATTTCTATTGCCCTTTTGTATTTTTCATTAGTTTCTAAATTTTGACCTGAGTAACAAAAAATAAAAAATAAAAAGTCGAATGACACACCAAAAAATGATTAAAAAATTTAAATAAAAATCACACGGTATATGTGTCATAATAAACGACATGTACCAAAGATTAGTTAGAGCAAATCTCCAAACACCCTCATGAGCAATAATTAAGTAAAGAGTTGAATATTAATTGGAAGTAGAACCATAAAAAGTCAAAATCTGATTGAAATGCAATAAAAATTTATCCAAACATTTCCATTACACCCCTGACCTATAAAATTTTATTTTATTTATTAATTTTTTTTAGCAACTAATTTGTATGAGCAAAGGCAGTTATTAATGGCATTTGAAAAGGCTTACCATGACAGCTAGAGGTGCTGCATACATGCCAATAGTCAATGCTGCACATAAAATGCCTACAAAGGTAAGCCTTAGACTTCCATGGACTGTTAGCATAGTCACAGCTATTACTACCCCAAGAAACCCAACATCCAATATTGCCACCAACTTCATAGATTTAACCTGAATTTCAATACCATTAGCAAGTTTGTAATTCGATGAGAAAGAGTGATGGATCCAGAATTTTTAATATAGAGGGAGAATATATTTGATAAAAATTTTAAAAAGAAAGCATGGACGGTAACATTTTTCTGCCAGCACAAAATTTGAAAATAAGATGAGAACACAAGTTAATAAGTATGTCAATTCATATATTGGTGTATAAAAGATTAACGACTACATCTAAAATGATGCATCTTTAGTTGCAGTTGACAATCTTTCATGTTATTAAAAGTATTGTGCTAGAATCAATATTAAAACCTCAAATATTATATTTTTTAATAAATGTGATCAAGTACCTTGTTAACTTTTCTTCCACCTTCTTCCATCATTGTAGGTTAGGGTTTATAATCTATACTTGTCTGAACTTTCTAATTTACATTTTGACCCCCATTTTCCAAAGATATAGAATTTAGGCACTTCAGTTTTTTAAACACTCAGAGAGAATGTCACATAAATTTTTAAAAAAAACCTTAGGAGAGGTTAAAATTTTCAACAATGCTACAGACTCCCAAAAAATATAACCCCACAACCCCCACTCATTTGTGATTGGTCCAAAAAGAAAAAAAAAAACATACACACACACGATTGGTCGACATCATTTTGGGAATCATGGGGGTCCCCAACTTTGGGGGTCCCAAGTATTTTTGTAAAATTTTTAAACACCTAGAGAGAATGCCACACGTGTATAATTTGAAGATAATTAATAAC